TATACATATATATATATGTACATACATATATATATATATATATATATATGTATACATATATACATATACATATATATATATATATATATGCGAGAGACTAAGAAAGAGACAAAAGAAAGAAAGCTAAGAAGAGATGGGCAGACACCCCAATCTACAGACGTACGCAGCAAACGCTGCAGAGATAAAATTAAACAAATAAAAATAAAATAAATAAAAGTAAAATAAATTAAACAAAAACGATAAAGAGACAGACAGCTGCAGCAGCAACACAACAGGAGAGCAGCAAACGCTGCAGAGATAAAATTAAACAAATAAAAATAAAATAAATAAAAGTAAAATAAATTAAACAAAAACGATAAAGAGACAGACAGCTGCAGCAGCAACACAACAGGAGACAGATGACTCGAGAGGCAGCACAAAAGAGAGACAAGGAGACAGCAACTACAGCCCCTCCTGAGCTGCTGCTGCTGCTGTTGCTGCTGCTGCTATTGCTGCTGCTGCTGTTGCTGTTGATGTTGCTGCTGCTGCTGAGCAGCATAAACACACCTGCAGCAGCGCCTCGACAGACAAGAAATCAAGAGAAGGAGACAGAGGAGCCCAGAGCTGCAGCAGCAGCAGATTAACATCTACTGGCTGTGCAGACTGCAGCGCAGAGGGAAGCTGCACCTGTAAGGAGACAGCAGCAAACAAAGAAGAGACACTTTACATGCCGCTGCAGCAAAACCTGCTGCTGCCAACATGCTTGCTGATGTTGCTCCCGGTAGTCCTGCTACTGCTGCTGCTGCTACTGTTGCTGCTGATACTGCTGCTGCTACTGCTGCTACTGCTGCTGCTGCCACTGCTGCTGCTGCTAATGCTACTGCTGCTGCTGCCACTGCTGCTGCTACTGCTGCTGTTACTGCTACTGCTACTGCTATTACTGCTGCTGCTGCTACTGCTACTGCTGCGCTGCTGCTGCTGTTGCTGCTGCTGCTATTGCTGCTGCTGCTGTTGCTGTTGATGTTGCTGCTGCTGCTGAGCAGCATAAACACACCTGCAGCAGCGCCTCGACAGACAAGAAATCAAGAGAAGGAGACAGAGGAGCCCAGAGCTGCAGCAGCAGCAGATTAACATCTACTGGCTGTGCAGACTGCAGCGCAGAGGGAAGCTGCACCTGTAAGGAGACAGCAGCAAACAAAGAAGAGACACTTTACATGCCGCTGCAGCAAAACCTGCTGCTGCCAACATGCTTGCTGATGTTGCTCCCGGTAGTCCTGCTACTGCTGCTGCTGCTACTGTTGCTGCTGATACTGCTGCTGCTACTGCTGCTACTGCTGCTGCTGCCACTGCTGCTGCTGCTAATGCTACTGCTGCTGCTGCCACTGCTGCTGCTACTGCTGCTGTTACTGCTACTGCTACTGCTATTACTGCTGCTGCAGCTGCTGCAGCAAGGGTACAGAGCCTGCTGCTACTGCTACTGCTGCTACTGCTGCTGCTGCTGCATCTACTGCTGCTGCTGCTGCAGCTGCAGCAAGGGTGCAGCAAGGGTGCAGCGCCTTACCTGCAGCTTGCGGATGCCCCGCAGCAGCAGCAGCGCTTCAGGGGCCCCCAGGGTTTCTGTACGGAGGTGAATAGCTTGAAGAGCTCTATGCATTAGCATAACAGAGACTCCCTATACACCGCAGCAGATAAAAGAAAGAAGATAGTGTGGCTAGCTAGCTGTCTGGCTAGCTGTTTACCTGGCTGGCTAGCTAGCTATAAAAGAGCAAACGAGCGATTCACAGACACCTATACACAGCACTGCTAAGTAAGAAATAGCTATCTAGAAAAAAGCTATGTAACAAATAGCTAGCTAACAGACAGCTAGCTAGCTTATCCAGCCGCTTGCTGGAGCCCGGCTAGCTGCTAGCTGACTAGCTTGCTAGCGAGGGCTTGGCTAGCTGGCTAGCTGGCTGGCTGGCTAGCTGGGGCGTGGCTAGCTGGCTAGCTGGGGCAGAGGCGTACGGGGTTTGCAGAGTCAAACACTTCACCGAAGAAGGAACAGAGAGGCAGCAAACGGAGACGCGAAAAAGAGTCTCCTCTGCGCAGCACAAGACAACCAGCAGCAACTGCAGCAGCAACTGCAGCAGCAAGTGTAGCAGCAACTGCAGCAGCAACTGCAGCAGCAAGTGTAGCAGCAGGTGCAACAGCAACTGCAACAGCAAGTGCAACAGCAAGTGCAACAGCAACTGCAACAGCAACTGCAACAGCAACTGCAACATCAGCAACTGCAACAGCAGCAGAAGCAGCTGCTGCTGCTGCAGCAAGAGGCTGAGCCTTACCCTAGGCTGTCCTTTAAGCTGCTGCAGAGGCCCAGCTCGGAGATGCATGCAGTCGCTGGCAGCAGCAAATGAAGTCTTGAGGTGCTGAGACACTCCACCGTCCTCAAGAGTGGTGCAGGCACTGCGAGGCCCTGCTGCTGCTGCTGCTGCTGCTGCTCCTGAGGGGTAACCTGCTGCTGCTGCTGCTGCTGCTGCTGCTGCTGCTGCAGGATTATCTGAGTTGTGGTAGGGAGGCATGACAGCTCCTGCTGCTGTTAAGGGGTCCCCACACGCCGCTTGGGGCAGCAGCAGCAGCAGCTGCAGCAGCAGCAGCTTCGCTTCTTCTGTCCCTAAAGCAGCTTCAAGAGAACAAACAGCTACAGCATCAATATCAAATTGCTGCAAGAAACGCACGTAAGGCTGCGCTGGCGCTGCTGCTGCTGCTGCTGCTGCTGTTGCTGCTGCTGCTGTTGGGTTTAGAGAGTCTCCAGGGCCCCACAGGCCCCACTTGGGGAGACGTGTATCTGATACTAGTTGCTTCTGCTGCTTCTGCTGCTGCTGCTGCTGCTGCTGCTGCAGCTGCTGCTTGTCTTTACAAGGCAGCAAAACAAAGCAGCTCTCAGCAGCAGAAGAGACCCCTGTCTCCAGCCAAGCAGCACGGCCCAGCGCATGCAGCTGCTGCAGCAGCTGCAGCAAATGGAGGGGGGACAGTGGCTGCTGCAGCGCGGCCAGCAGCGGCAGCAGCATCTGTCGTTGAGCAGCAGCAAACTCAAAAAAGATACCCGGAGATGCAGGAGCAGCAGCAGGAGAGGCAGAAGCAGCAGCAGGTGCAGCAGCAGCAGCAGCAGCAGCAGCAAAAGTATTGCTTCTGCATGATTCTGCTGCTTCAATACGGGGGCCCCTATGCAGCTCTCTGCACTGGAAGCTGAGGGCCCCCAGTTGCTTAACTAATCTGCGAGATGGTGTTGCTGTTGCTGCTGCTGCAGCAGAACCTGCAGCAGCAGCAGCAGCAGCAGCTCCTGCTGCTGCTGCTGCTGGGGTTGGCGTCAAGGCACTGAGCTGAGGCCAGCTGTGCTTCCATTTGCTGCAGCAATTGTTTAGAGACACCGCAGCGCTGCGTCTAAGTGTAGCTGTGGGGCCCCCAAGGCTGCAGCAGCCTCCCTCAAGAGGAGTTTGTACAGAGAAGCAGCCGCTGCTACTGCTGCTGCTCCTGCTGCTGCTGCTGCTGCTGCTGCTGCTGCTGTTGGTGGTGGTTCTGCATGGCCTGGGCAGCCGCGCGCTGCAGCTGCAGCTGCAGCAGCAGCGCCTGCATGCAGCAGCAGCTGCTGCTGCTATGTTGCTGTGCTGCATATCGATGAGGAGCTAGAGTCGGCTCCAGGTGTATGTACACCGCATGAAGCAGCAGCAAACGCGGCAGCAGCAAATACCGTCTGCTGCTGCTCAATGTGAAATCAAACTCATCTTAGTTGCTGCAGATAAATGCAGCATTAAACCTTCAAACAGCAGCAGCAGCAGCACGGGGGGCCCCCTGGGGGCCCCCCACGGCCGTCGACAGTCGTAGGTATTCTTCTGCACATCTTCTTTATCTTTATTTTATATTTATCTGTTTATTGTTTTAATATATTTATTGATTTGTTTGAAGACGAGGAGGTGAAGGCAGCAACAACAGCAAGATCCGCAGCAGCAGCAGCAGCAGCAGCAGTAGCAGCAGCAACAGCAGCAGGAAGAGTAGCAGCAAAGGCAGCAGCAGACAAGACATCCATATCTTGTGCATTAAATCAGTTTAAAGGCCTTCTTCCTGTGGATGGGAGCGAAGGTCCTACCTTCCGCTGCTGCTGCTGCTGCTGCTGCTGCTGCTGCAGTTGCTGCAGTTGCTGCAGTTGCTGCAGTGGGTGCATAGAACAAGAGGGAGACAGGAGAAAGTTAGAAGGGGGGCCCCACACCTAGGAGATGCTGCACCTCTTTAGGGCCCCCCTAGGGGTTGGCGGCAACACCGCCAGGCCTCTGAGGTGTATACTCACCTCGCAGCTGTCTGCAGCAGCTGCAGCGCCAGCAGCAGCAACAGCAACAGCAGCAGCAGCAGCAGCAGCACCGGAGAACCTGATGCTTGAGTCGTGTGCTGCTGCTTCGTGTCCAAATCCTCGCTGTCTGCACTGTCTCCCGCTTGGGGCTGCCAGATACCTCAGCAGCAGCAGCAGCAGCAGCAATAGCAGCAGCAGCAGCAGCAGCAGTAGCAGCAGCAAGTGGCACGCCTCCTTAGGTCGTCGCAGCCGAAGCCGTGACTATGACCCGCCTCTCCGCTCTGAGTTTGCTGCAGCGGAAAGGTAACTGCTACTGTTATTGCTTCTGCTGCTGTTGCTGCTGCTGCTGCTGCTGCTGCTGCTGCTGCTTGGTTGTGAGTTTGCTGTTTGTCTCCTTTGTGCTGTCATAGGCGAGAGCGAATGCTGCGGTCGCCCTCCACCACAGGGGGTTGGAGTGTCTCCTGGACTCCATACAAACCCCCTGAAAGAGCAGCAGCAGCACCAGCAGCAGCAGCAGCAGCAGGAGCAGCAGCAGCAGCAGCAGCAAAAGACCCAGAGAATAGGTCGCCTTCTGTTGGATACACCGTCCCGTATAAAATCAGAATGGAAGACACCCTGAGTCCAGAAGAAAAAAGAGCTCACAAGTAGGGTTTAGGGTTTAGGGTTTAGGGTTTAGGGTTTAGGGTTTAGGGTTTAGGGTTTAGGGATAGGCGTCGTTAGGTTAGGGCTATAAGGTTTGGGGCCTTGTACTGTAAGTGGAAGGAGCCTGTCATAGAGTCTGAGAAGAAGAATCCAGGGTTAAGGGTTTATTATGGTTTAGGGTTTATTAGGGTTTAGGGTTTATTACGTTTAAGGGTTTATTAGGGTTTAGGGTTAATAAGGGTTAGGGTTTATTAGGGTTTAGGGTTAATTAGGGTTTAGGATTAATTAGGGTTTAGGATAAATTAGGAATTAGG